TTAAAGCGATTATGATTTATAAACAGAAAGACTATGTGATTAAGATATCATAAAGTTTAAAATAATTAAAATACTAAGCTAAAGGTACAAAGTAGAAATTGCATTAAAATTTATGTACCATGTCTTTTCAAAATCATGCTTCTTATGGTCAGTGATTCTCAACTAAGGAGTGATTTTGTACCACCACTTGCTTCCTGTGGGACATTTGGCAATCTAGAGTATTTTGGTTGTCACAACTAAAGTGGCAGGAAGTGCTCTTGGCATCTAGTGGGGTAGAGCCAAGAAATGTTGTCTACATCTACAGTGTGTTGGTCAGCCCCATGACAAGGAATTATTTACTCAAATGTCAATGCTAAGATGGGAAATTCTGATTATATCTAAGAAGTGCTCAATTTGTCTACTAAATCACTGAGAATCAAGTAGACTCTAGCTGAAAGAGACATTAGTAATTAAACTATTTAGAAGACTCTCAATTTATAGATATGGCTTGAGAGCTAATGTCTTGCCTTAATTCACACAGTTTAACTAGAAACACAATAAATTTGAGTAAATCAGGCCGGAATGGTAGCTCACGCCTGTACTCTAGCACTTCTGGAGCGAGGCAGGCAGATTGCTCGAGGTCAGGAGTTCAAAACCAGCCTGAGAGTAAGAGTGTACTTACAGAGACCTAGGTGGTATAGCCTACTGCACACCTAGGCTATGTGTTATAGCCTACTGCTCCTAGGCTACAGACCTAGACAGAAGCAGCACTCCCCAACCGTCTTGGCACCGGGGACTGGTTTCATGGAAGACAATTTTTCCAGGGACCAGGGCTGTGGGGATGGTTTCAGGATGATTCAAGTGCATTACATTGATTGTGCAGTCAACCCTCTCTGCTAATGATAATCTGTATTTGCAGCTGCTCCTCGGCGCTAGCATCACCACCTCAGCTCCACCCCTTATCCATCAAGCCTTAGATTCTCATAGGAGCATGCAACCCAGATCCCTCCCGTGCACAGTTTACAGTAGGGTTGGAGCTCCTATGAGAATCTAATGCTGCCGCTGATCTGACAGGAGGCGGTGATGCAAATGATGGGGAGTGGCTGTAAATACAGATGGAGCTTTGCTTGCTGGCCTGCCACTCACCTCCTGCTGTGCAGCTCGGTTCCTAACAGGCCACAGAGCTGTGTGGTGGAGGTTGGGGACTGCAGCTGCACAGCACAATTGCTGTACCAAACACTGTAGGCCGATATAACACAATGGCAAGTATTTGTGTATATAAACATAGAAAAAGTATGGTAAAAATACTGTATAAAAGATAAAAAAAAATGATACTCCTGTATAGGGCACTTAAATTATGAATGGAGCTTGCAGGTCTGGAAGTTGCTCAGGGTGAGTCAGTGAGTGAGTGGTGAGTGAATGTGAAGGCCTAGGACATTACTGTACACTACTGTAGACTTTATAAACACTGTACATATAGGTTACACTAAATTTATACAAAATAAAGTAATTATACTACAATATTTTGACAGCTACAACATCACTAGGTGATAGGAAATTTTCAGCTCTGTTATAATCCTATGGGACCACCACTGTATATGTGGTCTGTCATTGACTTAAACATTGTTATGTGGCGCATGACTGTATCATTTTTAGTGACAAATCTGTTCAGATATTTTGCTCATTTAAAAAATTGGGTTGTTGCCTTTTTATAAAGTTGTAAGAGTTTTTTTATATATTCTAGATAGAAGTCCTTTGTTGGATAGATGTTTTTGTAAGTATTTTCTCTCAGTGGCTTGCCTTTTCATTGTCATAAATTGCCTTTGAAGCACATAAATTTTTTATTTTGATGAAGTCAAAAATTTTTTTCTTTTATAGACTATGCTTTTGTATCACATTTAAAATTTTTTGCCAAAACCAAGGTCACTAAGATTTTCTCTTATGTTTTCTTCTAGAAGTTTTATAGTTTTAGTTCTTACATTTAGATAGATCTAGAATCCATTTTGAGATAATTTTTGTATATGGTGGTAGGTAAAAGCTGAGCTTCCTTTCTTTCTCCTTCCTTTCATCCCTCTCTCTTTCTTGAATATGAATACCAAAATTTTCTATTGTTTTTTGGTAAAAAGATATTTCTTTCCTATTGAGTTGCCTTGACATCTTTCTCAAAAATTAACTGTGTAGATCTATAACACATATGGATCAATTTCTGTCTGTCTATCATTATGCCAATATTATGCTATCTTGAATACAATAACTTTATAATAAGTCTTGATATCATATATTGCCGGTCCAAATTGTTTTTTTCTTTTTCAAGAAGTTGTATAGCTATTTTACATTCTTTGCATTTATGTCCATATAAATTCAGAATCAGCTTGTGAATTTTTATATAGAAGCTTGCTGGGAGTGAATGGAATTGCCATAAACGTATATGTCAATTTGGGGAAAGTTGACATCTTAACAATAGTGAGTCTTCTAAATCATGAACATGATATATCTCTCTATTTAGATCTTCTTTAATTTCTCAGTCATGTTTTATAGTTTGCAGTATACAAGTCTTAAAAATTTTTTATGAAGTGTATTTCTGCGTATTTCATATTTTCAAATCTTATAACTGTCATCATTTAACAGTTTGAATTCCTGATTATTTGTTTGTGATATACAGAAATATATTTGATATTGGTCTTGTATTCTGTAACCTTGCTAAAAGTACTTGTTTAAGTAGGTTTTTTTGTAGCTTCTTTAGACTTTTCCAAATAAATGATCATGCTGTCTAGAAATATAGTTTTACTTCTCCCTTTCCAATATGGATGTGTTTTATTTCTTTTTCTTTTCTGATTGCACTGGCTAAAACCTCTAGTACAATATTGAATAGAGGTGGTAAAAGTAGATTTTCTTTCCTTGCATCTGCTTTTGGGGGAAAGCATTTAGTCTTTTACTACTAAGTATGATGTTAGCTGTATGTTTTTATGTAGATGCCCTTTATCAGGTTGAAAAACTTTTCTTTTATTCCTAGTTGTCAGAGAATTTTTGTCACTAATGGATGACAGCATTTGTCAAATGCTTTTCTGTACTTAGATGATTAGATGGCTCTCCTTTTGATTGTGTTAATATGATGAATTGAGTTAACTGATTTTGTTATGTTAGAATTAATGTTTAGAAGTTTAAATCAACTTTCCTGAGATGAACCCCACTTGGCTATAATGTATTTTTTTTTTTTTATATATTGCATCCATTTTGCTCAAATTTTGGTAAGATGTTTTTGCATCTGTATTCTTGAGGGATATTTGTTTTTAGTTCACTTTTACTGTAATATCTTTGTATGGTTTTAGTATTAGGGTGATTCTGGGTTTGATAAGTTGGGAAGTATTGCCACTTCTTCAGTTTTCTAGGTGAATTTGTAAGGAATTGGTATTATTTCAATCTGAAATATATTCAGTAGCATTGAACAATGAAACCATCTTTGTGGGAAACATTTTAACTACAAATCAATTTCTGAAATAGATATAGGGTTAGTCATGTTATTTAATTCTTCTTGAATGAGCTTTGTTTATTTGTGTATTCCGAGGAACTTATTTAAGTTGTTGAATTTATTGGCATAATGTTCTTTATATAGTCTCTTATTATCTTTTTATAGTCTGTGAGATCTGTAGTGTCATCACTTCTTTCATCCCTGACATTTTAAATTTGTGTTTTCTCTCTTTGTTACATGATTGGTCTGGCTGCAGGTTTGTCTATTTTATTGATCTTCTCAAAGAACCAGCTTTTGGTTTCACTGATGTTTCTCTGATTTCTATTTCATTGATTTCTGCTCTTATCTTTATTATTTTCTTTATTCTATTTACTTTGGCTTTAACTTGCTCTTCTCTTTCTAGTTTGTTAAGGTAGAAACTTTGCTCATTGATTTGAGGCTTTCTTTTCTGATATAGGCATTTAGTGCTATAAAATTCCCTGTAGGCACTGTTTTAGCTCTATCTGACAAATTTTGGTATGCTGTTTTTGTTTTCATTTAGTGAATCTTTTTATATATCATTAGAAATCCTTAGACCTGAATTAGCAATTCTATAAGAATTCACCTTTCATGGTCTTAATACCCTGCTTCACTTTTCCATTTTACACTTATTTTTCCAAATAATAATCTGGATACATTTTAGAAAATACTTCAGCCCTATTTTTAGAATGAGAAACAGAAGTGAAGAGACAAATATCGAGACAATTATGTAAAACTACTTTGTAGGGGAGAGATTTAGCTCAATAAGGAAGGCTATTCTTTCAGAGAAAATGCCATGACTTGCTGGAATCCCATGAAATATGGATTTAAGTAGATTTATTTTTGGAATAGTTCAGATGGCTAGAGTTCAACTAGAAATTGCAACTGAGCTCAGGTACTCAACTTGCATTTGTTTATTGCTTTATAGTTAACCATTTATCCCATTTGTTCCATACCTGAGAAGTACATAGGGCCGCCATATTATTGGCTATCTTTTATTCTAGTGATGAAGGGGATGGAGGTTAGAGTTAGGTTACATTAACCTAACTTGATTTACCCAAGTTCACATAACTTCTAGGTGACAGAGTTAGAGTTTCAACACCAGTTCTTTGGCTCCAAGCCTTATGATTTTTTGCTCCATAACAGTGGTTCTCAAAATATGATCTCCTATCAGCAGCATGAACATTACTTGGGAACTTAGTAGAGATTCAGATTCTCCCTTCTTCTAGACTTACTGCATCAGAAATACTGGGGGTGAGATCCAGTGATCTGTGATTTACCCCAGCACCCCAGCCCTGATGCACACTCAAGTTTGAGAACCCCTTCTCTACACTCTGGTTCTTAACCACAACTGCAAAGAGAAATCACACGGGTGCTTGTGTCTTGCCAGCCTGAGTATCAAAACTTCTCAGGTGATTCTAATAATGCAGCCAGTGTTAGCAACCACGCTCGTCACTGTGGTGCCTCTATTAATGTGACTCAGAATGCTTTTGGATTCATGTTACTGTGTTCTAACAAGTGTGTTTCTCTCCAGATCATAACAATCAATGCCTGCTGTCAAAGTGATCAATCAAATCCAGAGCAAGGAGAAAATGATATCTCAGAAGAGGAGGAGTGCAACAGAAACTGGCTTACGGGATCCAAATTTAGTCAGATAAGTATGTAACACTCTACAGTCCTAGACCCCAAAAACGCTTGTGGAGTTTTCTCAGGGTAAACTTTTTAGACCATTAAAAGACTCCTGGTCTTTCAGGTGGAAATGAGGGAAAGGGGTGGTGGCAACACTCTCTTGGGAAAACAGCTCTTTTCTCTTTTTAATTTCTATGAACACAATTTGATTTGTTTAAAGAAATCCAGAAAAGAGAAGTTAAGATTTAGATTCTCTTATACTCAAACCTGTTGTACCTGACTCATGAGTGTTTTTCCCAGAGGGCATTCATATAGCCTGGTTTACAGGGTAGCGGGGGATTGTCTAATGTTATAAATTCTTAAAGTACATGTGATATTGCTATGGACCCTTACATAGAATTCAGTGGTTTGAGTTAAAGTTCATTATTTAATACTGGCTATCTGTAGTGTTTATTCGGTGGGTAAGTACCCTTTAAGCTTACTAATGGTGTTTGTAGAGGAGAGAGGACAGATGAACCAGCTGGAATGAAGGCCATCAGCTAGGTGTGGAATGTACAATAAGTCGGAACAGGTAGCATGAGGGCAGAGTATGAACAGAAATGACAGCAATGATCAAAACTTTAAAATTCTTGCATTAGAGCAATTTATGAATTTATAAACAGAAAGACTATGTGATTAAGATATCATAAAGATTTAAAATAATTTAAAATACTAAACTTAAGGGTACAAAGTAGAAATTGCATTAAAATTTATGCTACCATGTTTCTTCAAAATCCTGCTTCTTATGGTCAGTGATTCTCAACTAAGGAGTGATTTTGTACCCCACCTTGCCTTCCTGTGGGACATTTGGCAATCTAGAGGTATTTTTGGTTGTCACAACTAAAGTGGGCAGGAAGTGCTCTTGGCATCTAGTGGGTAGAGCCAGAAATGTTGCTAAACGTCCTACAGTGTGTGGGTCAGCCCCCATGACAAGGAATTATCTAACTCAAAATGTCAATGCTAAGATGGGGAAATTCTGATTTATATCTAAGAAGTGCTCAATTGTCTACTAAATCACTGAGAATCAAGTAGACTCTAAGCTGAAAGAGACATTAGTAATTAAACTATTTAGAATACTCTCAATTTATAGATATGGCTTGAGAGCTTAGTTGTCTTGCCTTAAATCACACAGTTTACTAGAAACAATAAATTTGAGTAAATCAGGCCGGGAATGGTAGCTCATGCCTGTACTCCTAGCACTCTGGGAGGCCGAGGCAGGCAGATTGCTCGAGGTCAGGAGTTCGAAACCAGCCTGAGCGGGAGCGAGACCCCATCTCTACTATAAATAGAAAGAAATTAATTGGCCAACTAATATATATAGAAAAAATTAGCTGGGCATGGGGGTACATGCCTGTAGTACCAGCTACTCAGGAGGCTGAGGCAGTAGGATTGCTTGAGTCCAGGAGTTTGAGATTGCTATGATCTAGGCTGATCCCATGGTACTCACTCTAGCCTGGGCAACACAGTGAAACTCTGTCTCAAAAAAAAAAAAAAAAAAATCGAGTAGATCAAATCCCTCACCTAACGACATGATTCTATGACCAATTATAAATATATTCATTTTATTTATAAATGTCATGTATTTATGTTATATATAGATCTCATGCATTCTATTTTTTAATAAATAGTATAATCCTTATTTATGTAATTATATATCATTCTTACTTACATTATGTAAGTTTTTTCCAATGAATTTCAAACAGAGAAAGATGCAAGTGGCAAGAGGTTTCTGGGAAAGAACCTCACGAAGTCAGATGAGCAGAGGGGGAGGTGAGCCTGGGGAACTAGACTGAGTGCCCGGCCAATCAGAGTGGGTAATGAGACCCATTGTCTTTCTTGAACCACATCCAGGGTTGAGAAGCTCATTTTTCGGAAACATGTTTGAGTTAAGAATTAATTTTAGGCCGGGCGCTGTGGCTCACGCCTGTAATCCTAGCTCTTGGGAGGCCGAGGCGGGCGGATTGCTCAAGGTCAGGAGTTCAAAACCAGCCTGAGCAAGAGCGAGACCCCGTCTCTACTATAAACAGAAAGAAATTAATTGGCCAACTGATATATATATATAAAAAAAATTAGCCGGGCATAGTGGCGCATGCCTGTAGTCCCAGCTACTCGGGAGGCTGAGGCAGAAGGATCACTCGAGCCCAGGAGTTTGAGGTTGCTGTGAGCTAGGCTGACGCCACGGCACTCACTCTAGCCTGGACAACAAAGTGAGACTCTGTCTCAAAAAAAAAAAAAAAAAAAAAAAAAAAGAATTAATTTTAAAAGAATTTAAAAAATGAAAGTTTGGGGAAAGGGAGATGCCCTGTCATGTAACTCTTTTTAAACACAAAAAGTATAAAGTTGCCAGGAAATTAACTATGAAAAGGAAAAGTATATATTCCGCTTTTCCTATAGGTCATTTATTTTAATTATAATACTGTGCTATCATTTAAATCATATTCATCATAATTTTATGATATTCCAAGACTACAAGGAATAGCATATATGAAAATTTTATGATATTTCAGTAGGTTTTTTCTTACACCTCTTGTATACATATTTTTTTTTTTTTTTGCCTAGCACAAAATCATTAGGGAGAAAAACACTACAATTATCACCTACATTTATTCAGGACTTTTAATAAATATTATTCTCAGAATTCATCTAACCAAGTATTTATTAAATAATTGCTATGTACCTACTATCTGCAGTAAGTACCAGGTTAAAAAAAATAGCAATAGTAAGCCTCATCATCCTTTTAAAGAAAAGGCTAAAAAATTAAACCTACTTGATGATATTGTCTTCTATCTTTTTTTTTTGTTGTTGTTGTTGCTTTTAAGTACCCTACTATGATGCTTGATGTAGTTGCTACGGAAGGAGTCCTAACAATTTGGAACTAAAATTTTACATATTTTAAAGAAATCATGGGCTATAATATACAGGAGATGGTAAATATAAACACATTACTAAAGGTTTTTTTTTTTTCATAGGAGAAAAGATTATGGATCATTAATTTTTGACTTTGACAGAGAAGTATAAGTTGTTATAAATGTAAAAGTATAGAAGAATAGAAATAGAATATGTAGCTTTCAACCTCTTGAGGAAAAAAAAAGGATAAAGGAAACTTGATAAAACTTGCTAAAAACAGAAAGACAAAACTATTTCCAAGTTTAAATGAATGTACTGTGTTCAGATTTTTCTATTTGGGAACTGTGATTTGAATGTAACACATTTTCATGTATTTTCTAATTTTTTCTTCCTTTTTACAAGATCTGGAACATTATTTATACCAGAAAATGAAAACTAAAGAAATTGATCAACAGGCTACACAAGTCAGTGATTACCTAAAGCAGTCTCAAGAGGTAAAAATATTTTGATAGTTTTTTTTTTTTTTAAATTCAAGCATGCAATGCTTTTCTTGACCTTAACGACCCTTAACTGACTCCTATTTTTTATCAATCTTCACTTTAATCTTTGTTTGGAAGCTATGCTCAGTTGGATCCCTCTCAATTTTTTTTTAGCCTCCTCAGATTACTCTTTCTTTGTTGTTCTTTATGCAATATACCTTTTCTACCCAATAATTTATCCTGGGAATGGTCAACAGGAGAGAGAAAGATATCAGAAATTTTAGAAACTGTTTTCAAATATATAAAAGTTTTCACGTGGAAGGAAAAATAAGATATTTTCCATACAGTTTGAAAGAGGTAGATCTAGAATCAACACATAGAAGCTATGGGGAGACAGATTTCAGCCCAATCTGAGGAGAAATTTTTAGCAATTGGAGCTTTCCAAGCACGGACTGGTTTATTTCTGGAAGGAGTGAGTCCCTTGCTAGTGTGGTTAGTCAGGCTTAGGCTGAACAAACCTCTTTGCAGACATGACAGAGGGGATGCAAGCACTGCAGGGTAAAGGACCCTCCGTGTTTCTCCAGTGCTGAGATTCTCTGATTGTGCAGTCTGTTTTTCTTACCATCTACAAATATGTGGCTTGTTTTAGTACAGCGGCCCCCAACCTTTTTGGCACCAGGAACCTGTTTCATGAAAGACAATTTTTCCACGGATGGCGAGGGGGATGGTTTTGGGATGACTCAAGTGCATTACATTTATTGTGCAGTCAACCCTCCCTGCTAATGATAATCTGTATTGGCAGCCGCTCCCTGGTGCTAGCATCACCACCTCAGCTCCACCTCAGATTACCAGGCATTAGATTCTCATATGGAGCATGCAACCCAGGTCCCTCGCATGCGCAGATTACAGTAGGGTTCGTGCTCCTATGAGAATTTAATGCTGCTGCCGCTGATCTGACAGGATGCAGAGCTCAGGCGGTGATGTGAATGGTGGGAAACAGCTATAAATACAGATGAAGCTTCTCTTGCTGGCCAGCTGCTCACCTCCTGCTGTGCGACCCAGTTCCTAACTGGCCACGGACGGGTACTGGTCTGTGGCCCCGGGCTTGGGGACCACAGTTTTATTCCATCCACCACGTGGAAAGTGTGACTAGTTAGAGTAACCCAAGAAATCTAACTTTGAGTCTTCTTTGAATACATATTAACTGTTTGAACTTGGGAACTGTATAAACACACTTGTATGAATATTTACTAAGAACCTTAGATGTTCTTTTAGGAATGGTATCTGTGAAAGGTTTTGAGAAGAAAAGATGAGATTATTTGAGGGTAATTGGAGGCAGGGACCTGTGCTTAAATTTTGGCTCTGCCACCTCCTATGTTCCAATGTTATATACGTCAATTAACCTATGAGCATCACCAGCCGTGTCTCTAAAACAGGGCTAATGCCAACCTTAAGAGATTACTGTTAGTGAACATAAAAAATAACACCTATGAAATGCCTAGAGTAATGCCTGCAATGTATTAGTTCTCAAGAAATACTAGTTGAATTTAAATAGGAAATAGAATAAGGTCAATTCAAGGTAATGTTATTTTAAATAATCATCATCACCTGAAATGATGATCTACTGGTGATAGGACATGTGATGATCTATGTTGTCTGTCAATTTGTACTTTCGTTCTTTCTTTTGTGTCATTAACTGATTTCGTATGTTTAGTCCTATTTCTGTAAAAACTTTCGTATATTACATTTTCTTTCCTATGGCCTCATAAAAGTAATTTCATTCTGTTCAAGTCCATTGACACATTGAGTTACTCTGATATTTTGCTGACACTATGCATCTTTCTAGCTTGGGTTTAGTATGTCTATTAAAAGAGAACTATTAAGCTAGAGGAAGGAATAAGAAATGTCCTCCAAGGAGTGTGTTTAGCAAACATGTTACTGGAAAATTGGGGTGGCAGTATGTTGGGTGCACGTTTCATGGCCTTTCTCTCCTGCTCAGGACCTGAGTGAAGACTCTTCTTCGTGGAGTTCCCGGACCACGGACCTCAATAGGAACTCCTTGTGAGTATTTCGAACTGTCTCTCTTGAAGAGTCTTTGGCTTCTGCTTTTTAACCTGATTTGGAACATATATTTAATTTGGTCAGGAAAAGAGACAAAAAGTAAACATTTTGTTAGCAAGAATGAAAATAATTTCTTCTCCAAGGTTTTCTATTTCTGACAATAAGGTATCACCTGAGTGATTTTTAAGAATATAATGAAATACATACTTCTATAGCAGAATAAATATTTGTCTTTTCAGTGTCAAAAAAACCACACATGGAATAATGATTATCATATCTTTTTGGATAGATAAGATTGTGAATTTGCATAACAAATAGAAATAAATATGTCTTGCCTAAAGAAATGGACTGAACACCTGATTATATTTATTCTTTAGCTTTAAAAAGAATTCTTTTTTCCTTAATTTTTTCCTTTTAGCTTATGAGGCTGATATTTCTTATTTTTGGTTTCTCAGTAATATCCTAATAGTTGGAGCAGTAACTCTGAGAAGCAATGACACAAAGAAGGAAAGGAAGACAGGAGGGAGAGAGAGAGAGAGATTATAGAGAATTCACAGGGTTATATACTTGAGTATTCTCCTGGAATTTTATTTATTCAGATAAATAAAATTTGAAAACCAACCAAGCAAAGATTCAAAACAATCTTGTTTTGTTTGTAGTGTTTTCTGGACTTTTCTAGTTACATCAACACATTAACTATCCATATAACTGTTGGGGCCAGAATTTAAAACCATCTACTCTGTGGAAGGGCCAGTTGGTATTAGGCAGGTAGAAAGTGACTTTTGGTTTGCAGTCAGCTCAGTTAAATGTGGCCTTTCTTGGGAGCTTTCCTGGTCTCCATGTGAGCCTGCCCTCAGACTTAAAGGACACATGACTTTCTTCTCCCAAAGGTTTAGTAGTTTGTGCTCATGCAGAGTAGTGGTTTATTGCAGCATGAAATTAAACAATAATTGTAATTGTACTTTCTTCCCTAAAGACCTTCAATGGTGGAGATATTCTTTGAATGCATTTATTCAGACTTGCCTGTGGCCACTTGTGCACTTGAGCAGGGCAAGTAACAATTTAAAGACAGCTAATTTCAGCCTGTGAACATTTAAGGGCCACGTGGGCTAATGAAACTGATTTGTAGGCTTGTCCAGAGACATTCATAGACTCATTTGTAGGCATCTACTTTGCATAGTTCAGGAACCCGTTAGTTTAATTGATCCAGAACAACACAAATACGTTAAATTTTATATACGTTGTGTGATTACATAGCTAATTAAATAAAATACAACTGCTTTTCAGTTTGCTTAGGGCAAATACAGTAAATGACTTACATGCATATCTGGTGTTCATTTTTCTATGAAAGCAATTGTAGGGTTGTAACTTCTCTATTGATAATGATAGGGATCGGATATAATGGATACCTTACTTTCAAATATATATACAGTGATGCATCCCTTCACAACGGGGATACTTTCCAAGAAATGTGTCATTAGGAGATTTCATCATTGTGTGAAAATCACATAGGGTACTTATACAAACCTAGATAATATAGCCTACTACATACCTAGGCTATATAATATAGCCTATTGCTTTTAGGCTACAAACCAGTACAGCATGTTACTGTACTGAATACTAGGCAATTGTAGTGTAATGATAAGTATTTGTGTATTTAAACATGTCTAAATATAGAAAAAGTACAGTAAAAATATAGTATAAAAGATAAAAGATGGTGCACCTGTGTAGGGCACTTACCATGAATGGAGGTTCCAGGACTGGAAGTTGCTCTGGGTGGGTCAGTGAGTGAGAGGTGAGTGAATGTGAAGGACATTACTGTACACTACTGTAGACTTCATACACTTGGGCTACACTAAATTTATAAAAACATATTTTTCTTTCTTCAATAATAAATTAACCTTAGCTTACTGTAACTTTTTTACTTAGTAAACTTTTTCATTTTAGTTTTTTGACTCTTTTGTAATAATACTTAGCTTAAAACACAAATACATTGTACAGCTATACAAAAATATTTTGTATATTTCTTTCCATCCTTAATATTTTTTTTTTTTTTTTTTTACGTTTTAAGATTTTTTGTTAAAAACTAAGACACAAACACACACATTAGCCTAGACTTACACAGGGTCAGGCCCATCAGTGTCACTCCGCCTCTCGTCCCAGTGGGAGGTCTTCAGGGGCAGTAACATGCAAGGAACTGTCATCTCCTGTGATAACAGTGTCTTCTTCTGGAATATCTCCTGAAGGACCTGCCTGAGGATGTTTTACAGTCAATTTTTTTATTTTTTTATTTTTAAGAAGTAGAAGTATACCCTAAAATAATGATTAAAAATATAGTATAGTAAATAAATACATAAACCAAGAACATAACCATTTATTATCATTATCAAGTATTATATACAGTATATAATAGTATGTGCTAGACTTTACGTGCCTGGCAGTGCAGTAGATTTATTCACAGCACAGACACACAAGCAATGCCTTGTGTTGCAATGTCATGATGGCTGTAACGTCACTGGGCATAGGAATTTTTCAGCTGTATTCTAATCTTATGAGACTATATGCAGTCCTATATGCAGCCCTATATGCAGTCTTTTGTTGACTGAAATGTCATTATGTGGTGAATTACTGTATATATGTATATATATACATATATATATGTATATATATATACACATATATATGTATATATGTATATATATATACACACACATATATTTATATATATGTATAATATGTACACTGTGTTGTTACCATTTCAAATGCTCTTTCCTTTTTTTGATCATTGAAAGATTTAAGGCAGCATTATCTGAATGGCTTCATTTTCTTCAAACAGGTTGAGAAGTTCAAATGGAATTGACAGTAAGTGTTTATATTTAAGTATTTTATTTTTTCATCTTATTAATGGGGAGGTTCACCATCCTGAGATTTTTGTAGTTCTTGTATTTATGATTTTTGTCTACTATGCAATATAGAAAGTTCAGGAGAAAAGTAGAATGGTGAGTATCTTTCTACAGACAAATCAAGACTTATGTCTGATTTAAAATTTTTGAATGACCTGTTTTTGCTTGTGATTTTCCCATGTTGTCTGTGAATCAGGGTATAATCACTGAGCTCATTTCAACTATTCAACAACTGTGTCACTTTTTAACATATTGCTCATTAAGAGCCATTCATAAAATTGTGTATAGATGCCTTTTCCTGTATGGTTTCGGTAGGACCCTATCCCCAAATGGCTAAATAGGACTAGGTCACATGAGAAAGCTCTGGTAAAACCACTTTTCATAGTTGCTCTCAAACTTTACCACAATCTATGAACTCCTTTCCGCATTCTTGATGTAGAGCAGGCAACTTCATCTTCTACCATCTTGTTCTCGTTTTCTCAAGTTTTCAGTACTTCCTTTGTTGTTGATTTCTTTTCCTCCACCTACTACCAAATTTAAGTCATTTTCTTTTTTTCTTGAGACAGTCTTGTTCTGTTGTCCCAGCTACAGTGCCATGATATGTCATCATAGCTCATTGCAACCTCAGAGTCCTGGGCTCAAGGAATCTTCCTGCCTCAGCCTCCTGAGTAGCCGGGACAACAGGCACACACCATCACACCTGTCTAATTTTTCTATTTTTAGTAGAGACAAGGTCTCACTCTTTCTCAGTCTGGTTTTGAACTCTTGAGCTCAAGCAATCCTCCTGCCTTGCTCCCTGAGTGCTAGGATTACAGGTATGAGCTACCATGCCTGGCCTTAAGTCATTTTCAATACAAAAGAAAACATAGTCTTTTTTTGGATTTTCCTAGCTTTCAAACTGCCACTCCTACTCTTCATCTCTAAATTAATTGAAAAAGTGATAGCATTTGATCTTCAGCCCATGGTGTCTGTCCCTGTCATTCTCTTGAAACTCACTCCAACTGCTAAGTCGCTTGACCTCTTTTTAGTTCTCAGTGAACTGTGGCATTTGATGTTGACAGTTTTTCCTTCTTGGCACTCTCACCTTTCTGTTTCCTTGAGGCTGTGCTTCTCTGGGTGTCCTATGTGGTTGTTGACTTGCTTTTGGTCTTTCTCACAGCCTCTCTTCCTTCACCCAAGTTGGAAATATCAGTCATTTACAATCTTCTTCCTGCCCATTGCTCTTAGCTATGAATCTTGCTTTCTAACTCCATTCTACATGCCCATCTCTAAAGTTATCTGTGTTGCATCCCACTGCTCCAGCTGTAAAACTGCCAACATTTATTTTCCTAAATAAAAGGTGTATACTTTCATTTTCCTTTGAGCTTGTGTTAGCATTCTGGTTGGTTTCTTTACCTTTAAACTTTCCTGTTTTCCTATCAGAATTATCTTTCTGAATGATAAATCATCATTCATGTAACAGTCTTCAATGCCTCCGTATTGCCTAAGGAAAGACTGCAAACTCCTGAGTTTTTTCAATGCTCATGGTAGCCTGATCCTAGTTCAAATTTCCAGGCTCATATTCATGATCCCTTTTGTTCATTATTTCTGCCTTGGAGAATATGATCAACCACTTATTACTCACTCCATGTAGGGGTCTAAAAGGGATCGTCAAACAAAATGTTCCAACACACTCCTCCTTCATCTCAGGAAATGGCAATGCTATCCTTCCAGTTTCTGAGGCTAAGGTCTTGCAGTCATACTTGTGCTCCTATTTTTCACACCCCTATATCTCGCCCATTACTAAATCCTTCAAACTATATCAAGAATCTGATCACTTTGATACTTCCACAAACACCATATTTTAAGTTACCATCATCTCTTCCTTGGTTTATGGCATGGCCTCCACACTATTGCTCTCCAGTAGTCTGGTTCCAGACAGCAGCTGGAATAATCCTTTTAAACTGAAAGTCAAACCAAGCTATTCTGCTCAAATTGCATTCCATCTCACTTTGTAAAAGCCAAGGCCAAAGCCCTGCAGGGTGGGCTCACCCTGTAATCCTAGCACTCTGGGAGGCCAAGGCAGGAGGATCACTTGAGACCACGAGTTCGAGACCAGCCTGAGCAAGAGCGAGACTCCATCTCTACTAAATAAAAAAAAAAAATTAGCCAGGCGTGGTGGTGTGCACCTGTTGTCCAGCTACTGGGGTGGCTGAGGCAGGAGGATTATTTGACCCCAGGAGTTTGAGGTTGCTGTGAGCTAGGCTGACGCCACAGCACTCTAGCCCAGGTGACAGAGCGAGACTCTTTCTCAAAAAATAAAGCAAAGTCCAAATACAGTTTACAGGTTCTGTTCTGCTTCCCTGCACCCCTCCAATCTCATTCAGTGCACTACACTCTGGCCACACTCTTCTCCTTAAATGAGGCAAGCATGGGCCTGACTCAGGGTGTTTGCACTTACTGTTACCTCTGCTTGGAATACTCTTATTTATCTATATACCTCCCCCTCTCTCTTCCTTTAGGCTGTAATCAAATTTCATCTTACCAGAGAGGCTTTGCCTAACCACCCTATACAAAATAGCAACTTCCCCATTTTCCACACTTTCCAATCCTAACCCTCTTACCTTGATGTATATAAGACACACATACTATACTATATATACTATACATTTACTTGTTCATTTATTTTCTATTTACCTTTACTAGAATATAGCCAGAGACCTTAACTGTTTTGATTATTGCTTTCTCTTGAGCATAGCCCAGTGCCTGGCATACAGTAGGTGCTTAATAAATGTGTTGAATAAATATGAATGAGGTCTCACAGCTCCTTAAGTGGTGAAGCCAAGATTGAAATTTAGCTTTGTCACACTCAGATGACCACACTGGAATTATTTCACACTGTTTGTTTATGAAGCTCTGACCTTCCAGATGGAATAAGTGTGTTCCATAATCCTTATATACCTCTATTACATTGCTATATGTACATTGGTAGATATTCTAATATATCCCATTGCTATTACTTAGCAAACTGTATTGTGATTAGGATTACATGTCTTTTGTAGTATATTTGCTTTCTTTGTAGCATGGAAACCATATCTTATTGACATCTCTTGGGCCTAGTATGATCAATAGTAGGAGCTAAATATTTTTTCCTTTTATTGAATGAATTCAGAAAGGAGGAGTCTTTTATGCTGATCTTACTTTTTGCTAGTCCTCCCCAAAGGCAATGATTCTTGTTCCTTTCCTGATCCAGCAACAAGAAGCTGGAGAGGTCTGTGCCACCGGGCTCATTATGTTGCTTACTCTACCAGGCATCAAACAGTTGCCACCATGAGACAAAAAGTTCTCCACTTTAATTTTGATTTTATGAAATGGCAAAACTGTTGCAAAGGATTTCTCTGGAGCTTTGTCATTTACGACTGGAGCAGATAGAAGAGAATGAGTTAAACTTGGAGGGGGTGTTCCCAACACACAGTCTTTGTGTAACCAAACAAATCCCTTGGCGCTATATTATCCAACCCCTCCTTTGTTTCTGGGAGATAGCTCTTAATGTGTTTTCATCATTTTGTTTTTATTTTAGGTCAGTAAAGTAGTCTCCTAATAACTTTGTATTAATAATGTCTTCCTATGGGTCCTGCATCTTGGTAGGGAGCTCAGAGAATCGTGCTTCTGGGATGTCGTGAAGTATGATGGGCAGCTGCGTGCCTTCTGCAACCCAGAGGTGTAATTGGTTCAGAGGAAATACATCTTTGAGGCTAATATTACCTGTCTTTCTTCAATTCCCTATATAAATATGTTTGCAGATATTACATTGATGATTGGAAGCTGTCAGGATACCATGAGCAATAATGTGGTTAAAGGATATTAGGCAAGCTTTTTCAAATACTGAGAAGCCATTCTGATTAACCCGTTCAATAAAAACTTTGAAGGCAGTATATTCATAAGTATGTATTTATCTCCAGCCAAGTAATTAAAATGCCAATCTTCTCTATAATTTCAGAGATCTCAGCCTCCTTAAAAAGCCCTCAAGAGCCCCACCATCATTATTCAGGTAGGATGCGAGTGCACATAGACGTGTCAGCTGAGCTAAATGTCTGTGAGTCTGCATTTGTAAACAGAAACATTGATGAACTCTGTATTATTTGTGTGGTTCCCAACTTGAAAACTTGTTCCCTCTAATGGGAAAAACCTTCAGATTTCTCACTTTGCCATTGACTTGGGAAAACAAGTTTTCAGGATTTAAGAATATTTAGATTTTTTTTTTTTTTAAATGTTTGTATTGGCAAGTTCCAGGATGTGAAGGTGAAAGATGACCCCGGGATCTAAATATTCCTCCCAAGCTCAAAGCCAGCCCCAAACCAGAGATTTCAGTGTTTTGTATTGGGGAAAAAAACAGACCTGAAAGTTGCTGTTCGAGGCATGGTTTCGCACGTTCACTGGGCCCTCGGTGAACATGACCACTGAATGCATGCCAATCCCACGGAGTAAGTTCAACAAAGATGTTATTAAACAAAGATGTTAAGCGTCTTGACTCTCTCAAGCAACAGCACTTCACAGTGCTTCAGTTGTCTGTCTTTCAAAGTGGGAATAATTGTACTTGCCCTTCCTGAGAAACAGTCTGCCAAAGGGCTAGTTGAGAATTAAGAGGAAAACACTTTGAAATGCAAAGCAATATAAAACCAGCTGGACTTGTGCCATTAGGTGGTTCCTTGGGGGGTCATTGCTCTTAGTGTTGGATGACATAACACACGGGCGAAGCTTTTACACAATCTGAAGCTTGGTACATGCGTAAGAGCTTATTGGTGCTACTATAATCACTGTTATAATTATATCAAGGTCATTTGTTCAGGGGCCAGTAATAGACTGCCTTACCCTGAATTCCCCTCTGGGGTGAAGTGTTTCAGAGGATTTCAGCTTCCTCCAGCCTCTTGTAACTGGGCTTTTCAGCTCAGCATTTATCTATTATTTTGACTCTGATTGCCAACTTAAGATTAAGTCTCTGGTGAGGAATACAGAAACTCATAGTGACTCTGATCTGTTAGGGTATGGCTCATAACAGGAAAATGCACTTACTTCACTTGCTTCTAATTAAAATTGGTCTTCAGTGCTCTCTGGGAAAAGAAGGTGAACTGCACAAAATGAACAGTAGGTGTCTCCACAGTCCACTGTGCGCTGGATTTGCTTCGGAAAAGGAAAGCCAGAGAAGGAAGAACACAGATTAAAATGCTATTTAAAAGAAAGTCCAACCTATGTATGGATTAGTATGTGATTTGGCATTCAGGAGAGTGGAGGTGATAGCTGTACCTCAGACCTTGTGATATAATCTCATGTAAAATGTTTCTAAGACTGGGATATGCTTCTTAAGGCATGGTTTGTTTTTAAAACCATATTATAGATAATATTTTTGATAATGGCAAACATACGGGGGTCTTTGAAATTAAATATTTTAGCATTATCTGAATACACTGATGTGGAGAGTCTTTCTGTAAATCCAAGCCACTGGTGCATACTTAAAATAGGAAATCTCTTTTTGTTTGCAGCCATTGAAAGGAATAATTTAATGAGGCTCTCTCAGACCATACCATTTACGCCAATCCAACTGTTTGGTGAGTAGCACTTCTACCTTCCTGAGGCTATGCTAGGGCAGAGGCATAACCATCTGAGTAAATCAAAGGAGAAACCACCGTTCCCTCATTTTAGCTGAAAGTTTTGTTTTGCTGATGGTTATAGTTCAGTGAGATTCATTTCCTAAGATGAACACTCTGGTTAACTGCCATGGCCAGCATTGTAGGGTCAAAATCGAATACTGTGGGGATGGGACCGATGATGAGCAGCAGTTGGGAAGAAAGCAATAATGTTGCACCTGGCATCCGCTGACTCAAGGCTGGAAGTAAGTAGGAAAGAAAAGAACAAACCAGCCATGCATAATAAGCACAGAAGAAAGCGATAAATGTCAATACGGTGAAAGCCAACAGGCATGTGAAAAGAAATGCTTTGTGTATTGTTTTTTGTTTGTTTGTTTTGTTTCGTGTACACTAATTGCTCTTACCTCAGACCGCAAATGCCATTTTTAAAGGCTGGGGCAGTAAAGAAAAACAAGTCACATTAGCCAGGGCTACCAAAGTTTCTCTGTCTGGCAAGAGAAGGGGTGAGACAACTGACAATATAATAAATGTCCCCACACTGTCCTTGATCTTGGTTCTCCTCACACTGTTCACACGCGGGGCAGACCAGGTCGGCTTCTGAGGGCTAATGCAGATGCTTTTTCCTTCTGCTTGGCTTCATGGCTGGTTTTGCAAATCAATAGTTCTGCTCTAAAGCCTCTAGGGGTTTGGAATGCCAAAGAGATCTAAAGTGGCATTTATTTATCTGGGCACCAAGAATAAATATTTGAAAATATATTACTAAGCATTACCTAGATGTGTTTATTGGTAAGGAATTAGGTGCAAGAGTGAGGGAATGGAGTTCTTTCTTGGTAAACTGGTACAGTGTTCACCAAAAAAACTCATTTGAAGCAAAGGTGTAAAGAGGAAAACACAGCCTCAACAGAAGCTGTGTATAGATTTTGTTACCTCTGTTAATAAGTATTTAACACATTGACTGCCACACTAGAAAAAAAATCTTTTCCTTTAGGGCCATGCTATTTTATTACAAAAATAGAATAAAAACTTCAAAAACAAAATGATCCTTTCTAATTTAATGAAAAATATGTTATTTTTTTTTATTGTTTTCTGTGTGCATGAGTTATATGCAACTTGAAAAGTAGTTCACACGGCTCCCAAGGTGAAGAGACATGTGAGTTACATATGCTCCACGAGGCCCTGGGCTCAAAACAAGCGTGAGTTAAATATAACTCACGTGGCACTTAATGTGTTAACCCTGTATTGGTAAAGTTTAGGCTCAATAAGAATTGCTCCCTGTTCAACAGCCTAAAAGTAGGTACTCTATAACAATTAAGTAGTATTTTGTATCTGAAATTCTCAAGTGGGATTGTATTTGTATCCGAAGTTCTAGTTCATTTTAACCATGTTAAGCTATTTAATCTTTACAACAACCCAATGAAATGGACATTATTTTCATTCCCATTTTACTGATGAAGAAATTGAGGCTTTATGTAATTTGTCCCAAGGTTCAAAGGAGAGAGGGAAAGGCTCTGGAGTGTGACCTTGGTACTGTCTGACTCAGCGAGGTTAAACCATGCATTCTCAGTGGTGTAATATCACCCAAAGGGAGCAAAAAAAAAAAGCCAAAAAACCCTTGTATTCTTTTTTAGGTATAAAGCATAGCACTACATATAGTACCTACGCAGATAGACAGTAATTTTTAATACAGCATAAAGATTTCTAATCCAAAAATTCAATACCCCAAATTCTCCCAAATCTGAAACTTTCTGAGTGCTGACATGATGCCACAAGTGGAAAATTCCATGCCTGCCCTCATGTGATAGGCCATAGTCAATACATAGTCAGAAGCTTGATTCATGCATGAAATTGTTATAGATATTATATCAAATTACCTTTAGGCTATGTGTAGAAGGTGTATAGGAACTATAAATGAATTTTGTGTTCAGAATTGGGTCGCATCCCCAGGATATCTCATTATGTGTTGCAAATATTCCAAAAATGTGAAAAAATCTGAAATTTGAAGCACTTCTGCCCTCAGACATTTTGGATAAAGGGTACTCAACCTGTATTAATATGTTACGGGACGAGCAATTAGAAAAATGTCTAATGAGACTCCTTAGGGTGATGATAATAAACAAAGACACGAGGTTCAACGGTCTCTTTTAGGAGTGTTTGTCTTTAACAAAAGAAGCATATTCTTACCACCTCGATTTTGTTTCTGTCCAGTTATTGTCTCTAGTAAAAACAACTTAATTCTTGTGTATCTTCTGGCACTTTGTCCCTTTTCTACCTTCCCAGATTTACTAGACAATGAATAACGTGGAAACATGGTCAGATCCTTGTCCATATTCTGCTCTAGTCCCCGATGGTTCCATTGTCTTGTGATTATGTGGGCAACTGAACTGATTCTGCACTGATACTGGGGACACTGTCCGTGTTGCTGACACCATGATCCCAATGAACCCCTCACCTTCCTCTTTGTAGCAGGAGAAGAAATAACTATCTACAGGCTGGAGGAGAGTTCCCCTTTGAACCTTGATAAAAGCATGTCCTCTTGGTCCCAGCATGGGAGAGCTGCAATGATCCAGGTGCTGTCCCGAGAGGAGATGGACGGTGGCCTCCGCAAAGCCATGAGAGTCATCAGCACGTGGTCTGAGGATGACGTTCTCAAGCCAGGACAGGTTTTCATTGTGAAGTCCTTTCTGCCTGAGGTTGTGCAGATGTGGCGTAAAATCTTCCAGGAGAGTACTGTGCTTCATCTTTGCCTCAGGGTAAGTCTGGTACTCAGAGATCCATAGTCCAGATGGACAGGTCACAGAAAGGAGGTCTGGCTACATCACATCTAAGGCCATATCTCCAACCCAAAGGGGAGCCCATTATTTTTTAGAGGTAGTAGATTTTGTTATTTTCACTTTGTAGGGCTTTTGTTTTGGGGGTGGAGAGTTGTGGGAGCTGAATAAGGCTAAAAATAAATCACATTTGGGCAGACTCTAGTAATTCTGTGATCATAGGTGTGTGATATATTTTTTTAAATTATTTTTTTTAATAATTTCTTTTTCTTTTCTTTTTTTCCCATTGGATGCCAAGTTCTAAGGTGTGTGATATTAAACCAACATTTTTATCAATGTTCCCTATTTTGTAGGAAATTCAACAACAAAGAGCTGCTCAAAAACTGATCTATACCTTCAACCAAGTAAAGCCACAAACTATTCCCTACATGCCAAGGTAAGGAGATCTTGGCACCCTGGTCCTTCATTTTAGCAGGGATTTTAGCATCAATCTCATTAGACATGAGAAATCAGACCCATGGGGAAGTTTCCTATCACCTTATTTTTGGGTTCTTCCTTCCATAATTTTGGAGACTGGTAGAAGGGGAATTAGATGGTCTAGCTAATTAGCCAATACCTTGGCTTAAATCATTGAACTTATGTGAGTAGAAAAAAGAAGTGCAGGCAGAGCCCATAACTCACATTTAGATTATGTGAAACAGATAGATTCTGGGTATAGCTAATGTCCAGGAGCATTATGGCAGGAAAACATTTCTATTTTAAGCATGGTTTCTTCCCCTAGTATCTTATAGAAATTAGGAAGTTTGTAAGAATGAACTCTTCTTACTTTCACTTGAGTGTCTCTGTACACTTGGATTCATTTATTGAGACAAATCATAATTTGGTGCTGAGGCCTTACAGTAAAGCTTTATTGTTTCATTTATAAGGAACCTTATAAAGCACAATAAGAAAAGTTGGGTCCGGTACTCATAAAAGAGTTGGAAAGTTTCCTCAAAGGGAAGTGAGGTGGGTAAATGTGGGGAAAAACTCTTAATCTTTGCATCCCATCGTTCCATAAAAAGGGAAAGGGCATGTGCATTGAGGCTGCATCAGACTAGCATTAGGTAATCTTTCCTGCTACTGACTGTGCAGTGAGATAAATCCTGCTTTTGCTGTCTCGTGGGGGTTCAATGGCCTCTTTTTTCCTGGCAGGTTCCTGGAAGTTTTCTTAATCTACTGCCATTCAGCCAACCAATGGTTGACCATTGAGAAGTATATGACAGGGGAGTTCCGGAAGTACAACAACAACAATGGTGATGAAATCACCCCCAGCACCACCCTGGAGGAGCTGATGTTGGCTTTCTCTCACTGGACCTATGAGTATACTCGGGGAGAGCTTCTGGTTTTAGATTTGCAAGGTGATTGATGATGTAGGACTTATAACAAGCTCGAGGCAAAGTGTAAAGAGACCTTGTAAGGACCAGGATGGGTAACGTGTAGAGTTGCTCTATCTAGCTTTGAAGGGACATGGAGACATTTATTTCTGAGTCACTGTACAGTAATGACCATGGTACCTACTTTGTTGTCTCCCACTTAGATAGAGTTAAAACTGTAAGCAGATGATTAGCTGCTTAAAATTTAAAGACATCTGAAATTTTGAACTAAATGGGAGAGTGATTTTTGTACTAATTTTTTTTCAGTTTTATGCCTTTACCTTAGTGGTAGGTTCACAGTAAAGCTTAGGTATATATTTAGTATGTATAGGGAAATTTAAATTCTGGGTATTTTTCATGATTTTAAGACCATTGCTTTAGCAATTTATAATTTAGCTTGCTCTCTTTTCTGTGTCCCTTGATATAACGGTTTGTGAAAAGTACGGACTCAGTCTGAGAGAGGCAACACAGTGCACTCTTATTTAAGGGAAACTTTTGATCAGCACATCTCTCTACTATCAATACCTCACAGTGACTTATAATCCTACAGCACAAACAGAGTATCTCCAGCAGGCTTTCTGTGCTGGAATAGAACGAAATATGTATTAAGGCCAAAGTTTAGTCCTTGGGCTCACTGACTGGGGCTTAGGTTTTACATCAGGGATTTAGCCCAGGAACTTTCATAGAAGTTATCTCATTTAATCCCAGAAGCAGCACCTTGAGGTAGATATTATGGGGAATTTGGGCCCAGAAAGTTTAAATAACTGGCCCAATGTTGCACAGATGCTTAAGGGAGGGAGACAGGATATAGACCTAAGCTGGTTTGACCATCCACATTCTTTTCTTTTCACTGTACTATCTTTTATTTCCTTAAGGGTTTCATACCTAGAGGTTATAACCATCTTATGGTTCATTTAAACAACTTGGGCCTTTTTCTTTTCCTCTCTGACTTCCCTAGCTCTTCAGTTCTGAGAGTCTATGCTGAAAGCGAGGCTTGGAGGTTGGGGAAAGTGCAGATAAACAGACAGTCCTGAGGCATCGTAAGCAAAGTCCAGTAAGACTGCAATGTCACATTGATTGAAATTTAAGTCACATGCTCAAGGACGCATAGGCAAGTTTTAAACTATATATGAATACTTCTGTCTTTTGAGATTTTGGCTGTTCACAGGGTTGAATTATATTTCTAACCCTCAAACACAGTATTTTAGGAAGCAATATAAACAAAGTTAAAATGACCAAGATGATTCAGCTTTTAAACCAGCAAGTACTTGATCCATATAAACCCAGAACGCTGATGCCCAAGGCATCTGTTTTTGTGGCTCAACTTGGGGAAAGATTGTTTTCATCTGTACTTGACTGTTTGTGCTTTGAGCTTTGGGTGGAGTTGTTTAAAAAAGAAAAACAGAAACAAAAAACAACCAAAGAAAAACTTTAAGGAATTAATGATGACTCTTCAGTGTGTTTTGTATTCCACTTAAATAGGTTTTTGTTTAATGATGTTTATGTTTGGGGATTTTTATGTCTCTTAGTAATCCAAAGTGACATTAAACAGAACAAATGCTGTGTTGATAGTCTTGGGGGGAAAGGGGAATTAACTTTATTCTTTTACTGGGCAATTATGTGAATTGCAGAAATAGGCCACTCCAAATAAACTATGTCAAAACATTGACCTTCAAAGAAGGGAAGAGTGGACATCATAGAATGGGCGAAATGAAATTCGAGGTACTTATCTGAGAGTATTGACCAATTGGATAGGCCTGAATTTGTGGAAGAACATGAATCCTATAAGAGCAATTATAAACAGTTCTGCTAGTACTACTATAGAATTAGCTAACATTTACTAAGTACTTATTTTGTGCCAGCCACTTGACTAAAGGCTTATGTGTATTATTACATTTAATTCAAACCAGCTTGGAAAGGGAAAATGGGGAAAATATAATGCATTTTAATGTTGCTTAAAAGTTAGTTCAGTTTTGTATTGTATTTCATTTATTTGTATTTCTGGTCTTTGGAGAGACGATGTGCACTGTCTGAGTGGTGGGAGTGCAGGTGGGGAGACTCAGAGGCAGCAGTGAGGAGGGGGGCTCAGGAGTTGCAGTGGTGGGTCTGACCCCCGACCACACCATGCATTAGCTGCACGATCCACACAGCTACCACCTTGCGTTCCACTTCTCTCATTTGTAAATGGGGAAAATAATATTATGCACTCAAGTCGCAGGGTTGCTAAGGGACTGAAATGAACCAAATTTCTGACACGTAGCCCTCAGTAGATGTTATTGTTTTTGTTAGTATGAATCTCTGCGTGACTCTTTAAAATGGAGGTTCATCTGCAGTTGTGGGGGACTCTACCCACAGCTGAGTGACATTGGTGGTACTGCAGGGAGATTCCAGCTTCGGCCTCTGTAGAATAAGGACCTGATTAGTGTGCTGTGGCTCCCCAGTGCTTTGAAGGAAAGGAGTGAGAAATTACTAGGGTAGTCTATTCTTTCACTTTCTTCTTTTTTTCCTCTCTTTGCTTTCTTTCAAGGGAGTGACAATCATTAACCCAGAAGCTGCCACACCAGGCTAGGAAGCTGTACTCTAAGGAGAGGCATGACCAATTTCCAATCACTTGTAATTACACTGAAGTTCTCTGGTCTCTTTCCACTTAAAAACCCTACGTGTGAGGGCCCGAATCATCATCATTACATTTAAAATCCAACATTTAATTCCCAGCAATGGAAATTACAAATAATTGTATTTCAAATTATAGTGGTTCATAGTGGTTTTATTTTTTTTAGCTCATTATTTTTCAAAGGTCTTCTGGAGATATTAATTCTTTATTCAACAAAATAGTTTCCAGAATAAGTCAGCATTAGTATCAATGTTGTGAATTCTGGTGCTACAAAGAAGGAAGCTTCTTTCCATAGATGTAGATGTAGCCAAAGGTGCTTTGGGTCACAATGTATATCTCTGAGTTTCTCTTAAGGGCCTGCTGCATATCCTCTGGGCATGGACATTTACTCTGGTAAAGCTGGTAAAGAGATATCATTGGGAATTTTTAGATATAAAAATGTCTTATTTTTTCCATATTTTCCAAATATTAAGTAGAATATGTGGATAGTAGGAGCTCTGATGTTTAACTTTGCCAATTTGGTGATTTTTTGTGTACCTGGGAGAGACAGCTGGTAGTGCGGCATGATTGTGTGAATGCCATTGGTACTATTGGAGCTCTGCCTTGCTCTCTAGTTTTCATACTTTGGAAGGTCCTTCTGCCACTTGAGGGCCTGAAAATATGTATTTATTGGCTAATCTTGAACTGTCAGGTTGGGTTTAGGGGCATATAGGTTCGTGGATACTCCTTACTCTCATTCTTATAAGGGGTCCTGTTCGTTAGAGAACCTAGTGCTGAGATAATTAGAAACATGATTTTATCAGTGGTAAAAAAGTAAGGTTTCACTTCCCAAGAGGTCTTTGATAGAAGAAAGATAATACAAATAAGTTAACATTTTTTAGCTTCCTATGGGTCAGATACTTTGCCAAGCAGTTTGTGTACAATGATTCATTTAATCCTCTCAGAAACTCTGGAAGACAAAGCCTATAATTATTCACACTTTCAGATGACTAAACTGAGATTCAGAGAGGTTAAGGAAGGTATCCAGGCTACACACCTAGAAGGTGATGGAGTTGTGAGTGGAACGTGGATCCTTTCACTTCTGCCTCACGAGCAACAAGATTTAAACTAAACAGGCTGATGTGATTTTGATAGACCATTTTTTTGTTCCTACAAAACTTCCTTTTTCCTAATTGACATTGCATCTTTAGGTACTGTGCATATTCCTAGCTTAAACTTATAGTTTTCTCAGACCTATCAGCTTAAAGCTTTCATCCTTGCTGTAAACTTCAGGCTTAAAGTTAAGTCTGCACTTAAACAGATAAAGTATTGGTAGCCTTTATTCTCTCTATTGATGGTGTTAGGGTCATCTTTCTGTCTGTTGTTCTGTTTATTTTCTCCATGGTTAGAAAAGCAGGGTTTCTCTACACTGTTCCTTCTTATATATGTGATGAGAAAAATATAAAGTGCCCAAGTTCTTCCTATGACTTTTTGTTTAAAAAGAATAAGGGAGGAGCAAAATATGTTTTGTGCACTTGCCCCTGTGCTTGTGTTTCAGCCTGTTTTCTCCACCCCTATTCAAAATCAGTGCACAAAGAGATTCTAAACCAGGGGTTATGAAAGGGTCCCGGGATAGAATTCATGGGGTCTATACACTTTGATGAGAAAATACATTATACCTTTATTTTCACTAACCTGTGGCTGAAATTCATCATTTCCTTCAGTTGTGTTGTAGACCACAAACCACAGTGCTATTAGTGGTACCTGTGATTGTTTGCAATAGAAATTATAGATATTAACGTAGCATTTTACAATGTTAGCAGATATCTCAAAATACTGTTTATATTTGCCACTTCTTGGATGTTATAGTAGTTGATAGGCTTATGCTAGATCCTGTTATTTAGTGTATTAATAAAGAAGCCTGTGTATTCCAATACAAGTATGTAAATATTTTGATAACTGTATTTCAACATTATTGGTTTCTTTTATAATCCTATGTACTTAAATTATGCATTTTCAAACATTATTCAGAGAATGGGCTCCCTTAGTTTTACCATACTTACAAACAGGATTATAACACAAAAACATTGAAAACTCCTGCTCCAAGATCTAGGTTACTCCATTTTATTTTCCTAAGGAAGTCAGTTTCTTAGGGTAAAAGTCTATAAGGATGATAGTTTCTTGTGAAGGTTTAGCATATTGTAAAACATACTAAACATAGCAAAAATCTTTTTAAGAAAAGATCAGAAAACATGAGTTTTTTAAAAAAGATTAGAAAACCTGAGTCTTTTCAATAAGTAGAAATACATAACAATGTTATAAATTTTGTATAATTTTTAAATAATCTTTCCACAAAGCTGGTCTCTTTTGACCAAAAAGAAAGCCAGTGTCGATTAGAGAATGATCTCAGAAATTGCACAATTTGGATTGTGCCCAGATGGTACATTCACCTGTCTAACTGGCGGACCTAAAATGCTACTACCATTGGAAATCAATCTCCTCACTGTTTGCATTTTATGAGATTCACTTTGATCTCTGTTTTGATAAATTTCAGCTTTAAATTGCACCTGTGTTATTCTTTTAGGCTTTGGTGTCATTTTTTAAAGGGTAAATTTTATTGAAAACTAACATACATTCAGAAGAGTGCATGTAGCATAAGCATACCTCTCAAAAAATTTTCACAACTGAGCACACAGGTATAACTAGCACTCAGATCAAGAATTTAGTGTCATTTTTTATTCTACTGTTTATAAATGCTATATATATATAGCATTTTATGTGTCTCTTTGATGGAGCAGAGGTTGACCTGCAAAACTATATAGCATCATGCACCTTGCTGAGACTTGATGGAGTCTACCTAAGAAGACCGCAGACTAGTGGGAGGAACACAAGCTTTGGCTCAGCTTCAATCCTGTTTTGACCACACCTGGACTGTGCAGTCTCTGACAAATGACATAATCTCTCTGAACATCAGTGCACTCATTGATGTAAATGAGAATGAAATGTAAAATAAGGATAATATGATAATACTCTTATGATTGCTAATAATTCAAGAAAAATAAAATTAAGAATGTCTAGTGTATATATAAGTGAGAAATGAATGACAGATGCCACTATTGGTAACAGCAAACACACCACTAAAACATTCATTCGTGGCCTAGAAGTTTATTATAACAGAGGGGATGGGGGAGACAGTGCATTAATGTAAATTTTCAAAGACTCCTGCACAATTTTTATAGTACATTTAATTTACATGATGTGTAATTTACTACAGAGTGACTGTGAATTTTAAAATAAGAAATTAGGATTTAATTATTATCTTCTTGAATTTCTAAGAAAACGAAACTTCCATTTGCTAAATGAATTTTGTTTCTTCTTTTGAGGCGTTGGAGAAAATTTGACAGATCCATCTGTTATAAAACCTGAAGACAAACAGTAAGTTAATTTATGTGTTATCATTTAGAAAATTGCATTTAACACATTGTAAATGGTTTTTAAAAATAATTTATAAACATATATGTTCCTTGCCTAGATCCTAGAAAGGTTTTTGAGGCAGCTCATGTATATAGACCCAGTATAATAAGATTTTTCAAAAAGCATAGATTAGGGACTGGGGGTAAAAAGAAAACATGGACATAAAATAAGATTAAATCTAGAGTTAAGCTAATACACATAAATGGAAATTATAAGGACCAGTGCAGCAGTCAGAATTTGCTTGCAGATTTGACTCTGAGTGTTCTAGTGGCTGAAACACAAGAAAAATATGGGTAAGCTTAGCCTCTATAGGGTGTGACATGAAAATAATCAACATCACAGGAGAAGCAGTTTCCTTTGTTGCCCTCACAGTTGAGTCATTGCATCTTATCACGGGTGGTATCTTCCGTCACGTGCTTATGAAATGAAACTGAGGGCAACAAAGTGTGCTATTGAGTAATAGCAAATCTGAGATGCCAAAACAATGGGGCTTAAATATGAAGTATCAGATTATCTGAATTAATTCGTAGCTGAAGTTTAAATTTTATAAAGGGATGAGTCACCCACATGTCCTTGAATTCCCATGGGCATTTTATTCCATAAGCAAGTTTTTGGGAAGATTTGGCAGCAGAGAATCTGAGGTTATGTTCTCCTGTTAATGGTGGAGTAGGAAGAAGGGATGGTGCTAATTAAGCACTGGTCAACATGGCAGACAACAGTGGTTTCCAGACATGAGCTTGCATCATGATCACCAGGAGAGCTTGTTGAAACACAGATTGTGGGGCCCCACTCCTCAAGTTTCTGATTCAGTAGTTTTGGGATGGGGCCAAATAATCTGCATTTCTAACAAGTTCCCAGGTGATTCTGATGCTCCAAAGACCACTCTTTGAGAACTGGCTAGCACACAGCGTTTTTACTTTTTAGTTGTCATAAATGTCTATACTTGATTCCTAGGTGGTAGAAAATATATATAAACTATAGAACTGGGCACTGCCAATATAATACAACCTGAAATTTTTACTTTCCTTCCCCCAGAAATCATATTATGTTCACTGCATGAATGCTCTGTTCTTTTATTTATTTATTTATTTATTTTTTGAGACAGAGTCTCACTTTGTTGCCCAGGCTAGAGTGAGTGCCATGGTGTCAGCCTAGCTCACAGCAACCTCAAACTCCTGGGCTCAAGCAATCCTACTGCCTCAGCCTTCTGAGTAGCTGGGACTACAGGCATGCGGCACCATGCTGGCTAAGTTTTTTCTATATATATATTAGTTGGCCAATTAATTTCTTTCTATTTATAGTAGAGACGGAGTCTCACTCTTGCTCAGGCTGGTCTGGAACTCCTGACCTCGAGCAATCCGCCTGCCCCGGCCTCCCAGAGTGCTAGGATCACAGGCGCGAGCCATCATGCCTGGCCTCTGTTCTTTTAATGAATGATTTAATCTAAATATGTAGGTTTCTTTTCTTTTTTTTGAGATACAGTCTCTGTCACCAGAGTAGAGTGCAGTGGTGTGATCACAGCTCATTGCAACCTCCAACTCCCAGGCTCAAATGACCCTCCTGCCTTCACCTCCTGAGTAGCTGGGATTACAAGCACGCACCACCATGTCTGGCTAATTTTAAAATTTTTTTTGTAGAAATGAGGGAGTCTCACTGTGTTGCTCAGGCTGGTCTTGAACTCCTGGCCTCAAGTGGTCCTCCCACCTTGGCCTCCCAACATGCTGTGATTAGTGGTGTGAGCTACCACACCTGGCTTCTTAAATATGTAGACTTCTATGGAAAGAGGTCCATCTCCTAAAAGTGTATTACACATTTAATTGGACTAGGTGAGCTAGACAAGGTAAAAGTGATCTATATTATTTGTATGTATCTAATTTTTATGATACTTATTTGACTGTGGAGCCCATGTTGTAACCCTTAGGGTATACATAAAGACATTGTTATTTTTCACTTTAGCAGAGCTAAAGTGTTTTTAGTTAAGGATATTATTTCTTCAGTAGCCCTGTGTGCCCAAGAGTTAGTAGTAGGAAACTTGTACTGTAAGTACTTTCTTTATAATTTTGCAGCAAAATTTTTTTGCATATATAATGAACCAAGTTTATGTATACTGTCTATCATTTATTAAATTTTGACCTTGGCATATGTCATTTAATATGACCTGAATATTCCATCTTTTAGAATTTTAAAGTTATATTATCCCACTTGACAGTTGAGTATTTAATTGCATTCCATAGGCCAGTGGGTCTCAATTTCTATTAAGGTCACCTGGGGAACTTAAAAAAAAAAAAAAAAGATGCCCAGGATTGGCATCACATTAGAATCTCTGAAGATAGGGCCCTGATGCTTGTATTTTTTAAAAGTTCCCCATGTGACTCTTTGGGCAACCAGGGCTGACAACCTCTGTCTTACGGCAACTTTTATTTTTTATGACTTGAGGATACTGGTGGGATGGCATCATTGTGGCCTGGTTTTGTGGAGTCACCCAATTTTGGGTGCAGTTGGTCCTCATGGTTAAGAAAACAAGGAATGCTATTTTCTCATGACGCTGGGGAATTACATCTAATTCGTTTGATGAGGCTCACGTTTTTGAATGCCCTCCGTGTTGAAGCCCTTGCTACACAAAGCCCAGGCCGCAGATCAACCACATCAGCATCATCTAGGATGTTGTCAGACAGGCAGAATCTCAGGACGACCCTGAGACCTACTGAGCCAGAATCTGAATTTTCACACGATCCTCAGGTCATTGGGTGTAAATTAAAGTTTGAGAAGCACCAATTTAAGCAAGCGTTTTTACGTAATTTATAATACTTTAGCCTTAGCAACCATGGAAGTAAGCATTTTCAATCCCAGTTCACAAATGAGAAAACTGAAGCTCAGAGAAGATGGTAACTTGCCGAGGAGGAAAAGGGCGTCAGTGAAAGAAAGGGAATGATCCTCTACCAAAAGAGATGTTTTTGTGGTGTGAATTCTAATGCCCATTGTCTAATGCCCATTGTTTCTAATGCCCATTGTCTCTTAACTCTCCCCAAACTTCTGCCTTGGTTATTGGTAGTTTGGGATTATATCTTTTTAGCTTTACTGCCTTGATGGTTTTGGGCATTTGACAAGTATGAGACGATGATGAGATGTTCTTTAGTAAATCTATGTATAGATGGCACTAATTAGCGTTTCCTCGCATGTGGAACCAAGCTACCACCTGCTTTTCCTGTGTTGTGAAAAATCTGGAAAACAGCTACTTGCATTTTTTTTTTTTTTTTAACTTGGTTATCTGAGACTGCAAGGCTCTGGGCATGCTGTAGGGTATAGATGCAAATGAATGTCCCTACAACCCCCCTTCCCTCTCCTCTGCACAGGGAGTAGGTGAACCCCTGATATATACATTGGTGGTAATTTTGATCATTTTGTTTTAACTTTCACAAAGCTCATAGAGAGAAATGATTTAGTGTCCCGTTTTTATCTGAGAATCAATGCTAACATCTTTACGTTGGGAGTTTCCGTGCTTTACCGGGAGGGAAGAAATGGCAGGTATGGAATGCAAATGAGTGAAATATTCCCAACAGGGTCATGCTGGAGAGACTACAAAAAAGGAATTCTTCAATTTAAACGACTAAAATAATGCCTTGGTTTTCACTTTATCAGCGTCAGAGAATTCTGGTCTAAATACCAAGTGAGTCTACTTTTTGCCACCTTCAGTTTCACCTTATTGAAGTGGTTCCTTACCAGATGGACCGAGAGAGGGGAATGGTTAACAGGAGGCAGCTTACGCAGCCGGGTAAATACCACCAGAGCTGTACTTTGTCAAAGCGATTGAGTGACCGGGAAAGTTAATCCTGGGTGTCTGCTCACTTTGTCTTCCCAAGAGATTTCCTCCACCTACTCGCCTCAGAGCAAAGAGGCAATCTGAGATCAAACTGACATCAGCCCTCATTCTGAGCTTGGCACATCTTCAGAGCAGCTACTGTTATTCTGCCAAAAGGAAGTGGAAATTGAGATAAATGTTTCAGTCCTCGGATGGAAAAAAGTCCATTTTTACACCCCGATCCTTTTGAAAAACCGCATTCCTTAGAAGCGAAGTTTATTGTTTCCTTTTGTGATAGTTTGCTTCTCTTTTTTCTTAAGACGTGGTATTTAAGAGCAGTAATTGAGTTCAGATTTTAAAATGTGCTGTTTCCACTCTGCATGTCATTAAAATAAAATATTAGCTTTCGTAAAGTTTCTTGGGAAGTGTTTCTGGTGTGCTGTGTGTTCTGGAAGTGTTTCTGGTTTGCCGTGTTCTGTGGTGTGCAAAGTGTCAAAGTCTGTGGAATAATGGTTGTACCTGATGTGCTAATGGGTGAACATTGATCTTAGAATCTGCCAGGGACCTATTACAATTATAGAGTATTCCAAATGTGCCCTATATATACTGGGTCTATTTATAATTTTTGTCATCTATGTGGAACATATGTAGTTTACTTCCACAATCACATTATCTAATAACCTAATAATAATCTAATAATCATATTATCTAATAATCCAGTAGTCTTGCCTTTCCAGAAAGAGGCTAGCTATATAGCAGTTTGCAGGGTAGAAAGTGGCTTTTGAAAGAGCCATGACTACTGACTGGATCTAGGGGTTTAGCCTGGTTTTTGTTTTTGAGGATGGTTATTGTAAGAAAAGTATTTGGGTTGGAAACAATGTATATGCATCTTTTTAGAAGGTGTGTTCCAATCGCAAATTTCTTTTACTTTATGCCTTACCTTTGGGGTATTCTAGGAGAACATTTGGTAATGAATGTCATTCTCTCACCCCATATGCATTAAAAAGGGTTTTGCTGTATTTTGTCTTAACGTGGTACATGGAAAATTCACTCTTCTATCAGATTAGTGTTGAAATGCGTTTCACAGTAGGTCTCGGAGTTGGGTACAAAGATTTAAGTGCATTTGAATTTTAAATGTGCAAACCTAACATTGTTGCTTCCCCAAAGTGCTCTGTTCTTTGTTGGCTCCTTCGAGTTTACTGGGTTACTACGGGATACTGTTCGGTATCTCAGAGAATCCTAGTTGAGCTCCTTTTTCTTAGCTGTGATCTAATTGGTATTCTGATATTTCCTCTAGATCAAGAGGAATGGTGTTTGGACCAGCCAATTTGGGGGAAGATGCAATTAGAAACTTCATTGCAAAACATCGTTGCAACTCCTGCTGCCGGAAGCTCAAACTCCCGGGTATGCCACCAACAGTTCTATTTTTCTCTAAGTAAATCTCTCATAGAACAACATCCATTGTAACCTGGGATAGAGTAGGAAATCTTAATCACATTTTTATCTCATTCGCAGTCATTCGCAGAGCCTGACTTTCTGACTGCAAAATTTTCAAGTCTCTAAAGGGATTAAAAGGACAGGGATTTACTTTAGGTTCTGCCAAAATGTGATAAAACAACATGGGGCCCGATACTTGTCACAGTCATTCCAAGGGAAAACTTTCATGGACTTAAATGGGGTGAAATCTGACCGAGGCAGGTCTCTGCCCCTCTGCTTTGGATCCTGCCCACTCCCAGCCCATGCTGCATCGTGTTGCCCACAGCAGTCCTTTTCTATTCTAATCTACCCAATGGACCCTTGGGAGGGTGTGGTATGGAGCAAAATAATGTCCAGCAATTAAAATGATGCTAAAAACCTGCCACTTTAAGCATACATCATAATACTTTTTTTTAAAAAAAAACAATCTGATTCGATAATGTAGTCCACTTTCTCTGAAACCAATATCATCGCCACAGAAAATATTCCTACTATAAAAGCAAGCAGCTGGAAGCCTGTGCCCTCCAAATTGGCAGTCCCAGCTCTGTTGCATTCTTTTCTTTTGTCTCAGAAGGGAGGCTTTCCGTCCGCCTCGGCTTGCTCACTGTTTTTCTTTGGTCATACCAAACTTGTCCTTAAAATGGGATTTCACGTATTTGAAGTCGAGTAGCCTTTCCTGCCTTCTAATAAATGATCACACCCTGTACTGGAAATCAGTAAGAAAGCACCGGCCGTCATAACCTGGGATGGAGCAGGTGCAAAGTTGTAAGCAAAAGGGGCAATTTCTAGTCTTGTTGGAGTTGGAGATGGGTGAGCTCTTGTGGGCAAGACCTAGCAAAAGACTGGGATTTGGAGCAGGCCTCCAGGCCAGTGGGAATATAGTGTGTCAGCCAGGGGTGATGGGGGGGGGATGGGGAGATCAAAAGAGAGCAGTCAAGGGGTGGGGGGCCGTGACTCTCATGACTGCCACAACTCACTCTTATAAATCACACACCAGGCCTGGGCAAAGAGACCAGCGTGGAGCTGAGCTGCCCACTGGCTTCCTCTCTGGTCAGAAGGAGCCCAGGGAGGGGCTGGGGCTGGGCTGAGGAGCACTGGGGCCTCCAGGTGAGGGCCTTGCAGGAGGCAGGAGCTGGCAGATATCTGAGTCATCTCATGATTGCAGGCTGGAGTCCATCCATGAACTCCACATCCTCAGGCACTGGCCTCTCCCCAGTCTGTACCCTGGACAGGGCAGCCTCCATTCTTAAAGACACAGGGACTACGTCTGACCAGCTGGGAGACAGGGAGACTCTAGACATAATTTGCTGCTTCTAACCCTTGAGCCCACTTAGCTGTTCTATAGGATTAAGGTTGAGATAATTTTTTTTTATACTACCCTGGTGAGTATATTCAGTAATTTTTGAGTGAGTAATTCAGTAATTTTTCCATCTCTAGACCTAATTTATGTTTCCTTTCAAAACCTTAGTTTTTAACTAACATTTAAGTAGAAATAAGAAATCTCATTTACTCACATTTGGTAATCTGAACGAAAAAAGAGTTTAGCCTGGCAAACAGGATTAGAGGCGACTTTTCTTTTTTGTTTGATTATACCTTATTTATTTATTTTTTAAAAGAGAGGCAGTTCAGTGGAAAGGGCATGGGCTCTAGAGCCAGACAGATTGAACTCACATCGCAGTTCTGCTTTTTGCAAGCTATGTGACCTTGGGCTTCAGTTTCTTCATCTGTAAACTGGGCATAATAGCACCTGTCTTAAAGTTGGTGTGAGGACTTAATTAAGTGACATGTATATGTTCAGTTGGTTCTTATTAAAATATAGTATGGGCTAGGCATGGTGGCTCATGCCTGTAATCCTAGAATTTTGGGAGGCTGAGGCGGGAGTACTGCTTGAAGTCAGGAGTTTGAGACCAGCCTAAGCAAGAGCAAGACCCGTCTCTACAAAAAATAAAAACATTAGCCAGGCAGCTACTTAGCAGGCTGAGGCAGGAGGTTCACTTGAATCCAGGAGTTTGAGGTTGCAGTGAGCTGTGGTAACACCAGTGCAATCTAGCCTGGGCTACAAAGCAAGACCCTATCTCAGGAAAAAAAACAAAACAAAACAAAACATATATATATATAAAATATGTATTAGCTTATGTCCAGGCAATCCCTATTTACCATTAAAATTAATATAAGAAATATAAGTTTAAGGTTACCAAATGTAATCAATGCTGCACAAAAAGGTGTACATTTAAAGCCCATTTTCCTCCATATCTTTCTCCCAAAAGTTACCCCTATTATTAATGTTTTCTTTTAATTTCTTTTTTCAAATGGAGAAAGGAGGCCTTAGGAAGCATAGGATCTGATAGCTGGATGAAACTTTTCAGGCGGCACCAAACCTGAGGCATAGCTCTTGCAGAAAACTGACCACTGAGATCTGGAGCTGCCGTAGGCTGCCCTCCCCGCCCCACCTGTCCCTCTGCAGTGGAAATGCCCAGTTTCCAGTTTGGCCCCCCTTAACTCTGGCCAGGTTGTGCCTCACAGGGCGTTGCATGTTGAATCCCTGCCCTGTCAACAGTGCCTAAAAAGCATGGGGGCGTTAGAGCCGCCCGTGGGCATTGCGGTGGGAGGAGGCTTGGTTTGGGCACGGCCTGGGGTTCTAGTGCCATGTGTCCATGGCCCGAGGAAGAAGAGACCTCTCTGAACACTTGACAAAGCCTATAGTCCAATCTAGCTGCATGAACAGTAGCAGGTTCTTGGGGATCCACTCTTAATTACCTTCCTACTTCTCTTCCTTGCAGATTTAAAAAGAAACGACTATTCCCCTGGAAGGATAAACTCCACCTTTGGACTCGAGGTCAAAGTAGAACCAGTGGAGGGACATCCAGCAAGGGAGAGGGCTAGAAATTCCCCAGAAGATCTTACACGACTGTGAAAAGGGGAGAAGCAAGCCGGCCACGTGCTGGCCCCTCCTGCCATGAGCTCTATGGTGACGGCGATCAGTTGACACAACCGTGATGAGTCACGTCTGAGCCTCCGTATGGGACATGCCTTCCGAGCCTCTCTCTGCACATGACCAAGGCATCCCTGGTGTACGATGGTTGGGTTCTCCTAGGTATCGACCTCTGCACTGGGCACTTTGCATCTCCATCCTCAAGTTCCTCGGGAAGACACTTGGACGAGTCAGCCGGGAATGCTGTTCCTTTATACCTCATTGCTTTAGCTGGTCGCTTGGAACCCTCGCAGCCCATGCTGCACGCTGAAGCGTCAGGGGGATGAGTTTAATTTATTTTCTCACTGCATGTGCAGACAGCGCCCCTCCACTGCTATTCATCACCTCACCCCCAGACTGTATTTATGTCTATATGTGTACAAAAAAAAAATTATGTGACTTCCCCGCCTCTCCTCTGCACAGCATAGGACTTTGAATAGCAACAATAGGGAAAACAATGGAACGAGGGTGTCTTTGCACAGATTGGAGCACACTCCCGCACAAGCTAACACATAAAAAGTTAGTATGCTGGTGAAATCTAGAGGGGTTTGAGGTATTGTCAGTGAATCATACGATGCCTGAGCATTTCAGGTTTTCCCTGAAAGAAAGGAAAAGGGAAATCTAAAACAAATGCCCTTGCATCTTTTCCTTTTCCTTTTTCTTTTTTTTAATAAGAGAACAAAGCTATGAAAAACTGGAAATTCTTAAGAGAGAGTTTCCCTTCCCTTAAGCTCAGGGATATTATCGGTTAGAGTTGACTAAGTCAACCTTTAAAACACCACTTCCTTTTCCACAGTTGCATATATAATATTGCGGGTTAAATTACCCTATGTCAGGAAGATATGATTGCAGACTGAAAACAGGCTTCCCAGGTGTTTGCTTCCTTCCAGGTGCGGAGTTCCCATGCCTTAAAGAGCGCTGTGTATATTTTAAAGTACTGCCTGAGAACATGTTGCCAGTTTCCCATGAAGATCTCCCGGAAGCTACACTGAGTAGCATGTTTGGGGGATCAGTCGTCCCTCTGGCATGCTGTGTGGGGGGGTTGCCCTACCTCTGAGCAAGCATGAACTTTTCACACAAGGAGAGGTGGAGGGCTGGGAACCCTCTCCCCTCTCCTCCTGTATCTGTCTCACTCTCTCTCTCATTTTTTTTCCTTTATTATAAGGTGCTCCAATCTACCAGCAGCAAACCTCCTAGGCTTGAAAATTTTCAACTGAACCGTTATCTTTGGTCCTTATGTTGGCTGAATTGCTGCTAAACCTGCTCTTATAATCTACACTCCTGCGTTCTTCGCTTATGCTTTGGAGGAAATGTTGCTTAGGGCGATGGAAAACCAAAAATTTAGTTTGCCAATGATTGTGTCTGATTCTTGTAAGTTTGAGTTACCCAAGGGCTAATTTTTTGATTGGCAATGAGGATAAAATTGTTAATACTTTTGGGGGACTTAACAACTTTATCCTTTTCTGTGAATCAGTAAGGAATCACTTGGTACTCATCTCAGTGCTGCGTTCAGCTATGGGAAGAGGCAGAGTTTGCCTATCCAAGGGTTGAACTAAAGGCATCAGTTCATTGGTCAATTATTTGTTACCTGCAATGGAACTTGAAAGCAAATACATTTTGATTTCAAATTTCTGTGGTGTGCTGTTTTGTTTTGTTTTAAGAAAAATCAACAAAGTAGTATTTTTAAAAGGCAAATTGCTGGGCAAAAGTCACTGTGGGATTGCTGGCATGCATAAAGTGATGTGATATTCTTGGCTTTAAGTGATTGTGACCACAAAAGGATGGAGTATTCTTTTATTCAGTCAATTTTATTCAATAGATATTTATTAAGTGCCTTCTCCATACTTGATTAGTGATGAGGATGCAGTGGTGAACGTAGCATTTCTTTGCCCTCAAAAAGCTCTGTCTCATGTTTCTTTTTGCTTGTTTTTTGTTCCACGTTTGGATTTCTAGTTAATGCTAAAAACAGAAAAATTTGACTTATGGCCAGATGTCGAATCCAGAGATGTGACCCATACCCTATCTGTCAGTGGGCAGTACTGGGATAAGAGAATTAGGGCAAAGGAGAAGACATAGCTAGGGCTGTGGTTTTAGGAACCACCCAAGGAAAACAGATTCCATAATCCTCATCTGAACACAAAGCCTGGATCACAGATGGGATCTGCCTCTGGGAACCAGAGAAGTAGCCGGGTTCCAGAGCCCTCTTCTGCAAGCATCCAGGGCATTGGAGTTTCTTTCCAAGAGGCTATATAGGGTCCTGGAGGGACTTCTGTCCTATGCTGTCTTACAGCTTCTTATAGCTCTGGGGAATGGAATTTCTTACCCTGTTATTATTTTCTGTGGATTTTCAAAACAAGTACTAGGGGATGGCTAAGAATCCCTAACAATCAATCATTGAGTCAAGGCTTTGAAAAAAAAAACCGTTTTTTTGGTGGTGGTTGTTTGTTACTGTTGTTTTAGATGAGACTGATGGTTCTGGTTCTACAAGTCATGGCACAGATGCGCTTGTTATGTCTTCTTGTCCTTCTCAACTGGTCACCAACATCTAGCACAAATCAAGGCACCCAATATGCTTTCGATAATATTTGTTGAAAGAAATAATAAAACTTTCAAATGCTAGTGGATTTCATTCAGTAGGTAATAAATCAGATTTGCATTTTTAATCTAGAAGGAAATGATTACCAATTCCTTAAGACCCAACACAATTCTTTTGATCTCTCTCTGTTTTAATTTTCTGGGAAATAGCTTTTAACAACCTACACCTTGTCTATTGAATTCTCACCCAGTTCTTGCCCTTATCACCATTGGTGATAACGCCAGAGTGCAGTCCTTTACTGGTGACTATTGAAATGAGATGATAACTTCCCAGAAACGGCCTAGAAATAATCATCACTTTATTACCCTTTGAAAAGAAGATTGATAGAAAAGTCATTTGAAAGATGGTTCATTACCATGCCCTAGTATGATTTCTTTACTCACATCTCTCCAAAGCATGAGAAAGGGAGGATTATTCTCTGAGGTCGGAATTTGAAGGCTGTGTGTTTACCTCTTTGAAGTCTTGGTATTTAATTTTCTGTAGTCATTTCTTGGGCAATTTTCTAAGAAACTGGTTGAAGCTAATTTATCATAAGTTAAAGTCAAATGACAGAAAAGATTTTTCCCCTTTAACAGCATTTTATTCCACAGAGGTTAGCTTCTGAAGGAAAATGAGACTTAAATAGCATTTCAAATCTCCAGCCACATGGGTGGGTACACAGAATAGAAAGGATTCTAGAAACCACACTGATTTTTTTATTTGGCACGGTTATTATTTTGTGACTTTTCTTTCTAGACCATGATGTACAGATAAAATACTGTGTTTTTGTGAAACACTCTCTTAAAAATAATTAGGTAAGTTGCTTAATTTTTCAAAGAAAGACGTTTAGTTCTCAAGGGATAACAAGCCTTGGTCTCTATCATTCACAGGCTTTTAATATAACTTTATATAATTCATTTAACCTTTCTGTTAACCCTAATGCTGAAACAGAGATGAAGATACTTACCTTTTCAAATGAAGGTGAATGATAATGAGAAAACATTTATAAAGTTCTTTGAGAATCTCATTTAAAAAAGGCTTCTTGCGAGCATGGTATCCAGTTCAATAAATAATAAGGGATTTTCATTTTTGATATTATGTGATCATTATTTAATGTTTACAGAGGATGCTCAGTGGACCTATTTCAGTATAAACACAAAAATGATTTCTGTTATTTCTTCCTTCCTAAGGGGAAAAAGCTCATTGCTCCTTTTTTGTTTTAAAACTTAATTAAATAGTTCAAAATTAGGAAACTCGCCATTTCACAGTATGTCTTATTTATTTTGCTTTTTGATGGATTTAAGTTTATCCAGTTAATTTCTTTTGCCATCCTTTGCCCAAAGAAAGCCTTGCAGGAGGAAAGGTAAAATCCCAAAGCTGATACCATCATGGGTGACATTTTTGGGTATGATAAAAGAGTGGGTTTAGAATCTTGATGCTTGTAAAACTTGAAGTTTTAAAAAAATTTTTAATTAATAATGATTTACATTTTGTCAGTATAGGGCTTAGTAATAAGAACATTCTTGCCTTTAGCTTGCTGGCATCTTCTTTTATCAACTAACTTTTAGCAACTAACTAATTCCTTTAGAATTCTCATCTTCTCTTAGTGGATTTTTTTCCTTGTGAACCTTTAGAAATTCCATCTGGTAGAGCTGGGCATGATGACTCATGCCTGTAATCCCAGCACTTTGGGAGGCCAAAGTAGGAGGATGGCTTGAGCTCAGAAGTTTGAGACCAGCCTGGGCAGCATAGTGAGATCCTGTATCTACAAAAAAAAAAAAAAAATTAGTCATGTGTGATAGGGCATGCCTGTACTCCCAGCTACTTGGGAGACTGAGGCAGGAGGATTTCTTGAGCCCAGGAATTTGAGGTTGGAGTGAACTGTGATCACTCCACTGCATTCTAGCCTGGGCGACAGAGTGAGACCCTGTCTCTAAAAACAAAATTCCGTCTGCTAAATTAGTCACAAAGTCCTCACACATATTATGGTGGGGACTCTTTTGCTAATGATTGTCTCAAAGTGGCCATAGTCGTTACTTTTTGTTGGAGTGATTTGGGGAAATCATCACTGATGTCATGGGTTTGCACTTTGGCTTCGATGAATCTTTTGCTCTGTGTCCTATTGGTCACTGCCCATAGGGCATGGAGCCTCAGGATGCTTTGGTGACCAAAAGAAACCCTCGGTGTGTTGCCATGTTTCGGAATTCCCTATTCAGCTTTGAAATTTTTTTTGATAAGGACTTGGAGAGGAGAGAGCTGGCAACAGCAATGAAGGGGAGGACGAGAAGTAATGGTCAAGTGCATACGACTGCTATGGGTGATGTTAGAGACTGTCATGGATGGTGGCAGGATTGGTGAATTGTTTTGCTGAGGAAGTCCAGAGTGATGCATTCTGGAAGACTACATGTATGTTGCAGATGAAAACCAACATGGGCTAGGCTTCGTAAGATGGGACGTTTGCCTACCATTAATGGGCTTTTGGGGATATCTTAACAGACAGGGTGGGAAGAGAAGTGTGCTGGTGATTTGTGGTTTATGTAACTGTTTGGTTTATATCCTATCTAAGAAATATTTTTTGAGCCTTACCACATGTAGTGCCCTGACACTAAGGTTAGACTTATTAGATAAGATACGTTTCTGTCTTCAAGGATCTTCAAGACAGTTAAGAGATTACAATATATTGATCTGTCATTGCCCAGCAATTATAATCCTTGTAATGACAACTTTTTATTATTACTGTAGGTAACATGTATTGAACAGTCATTATGTCCTAGGCATTATGTGCTAGGCATATGTATTAAATGTGCACTGTACATAATTTCATTTAATCTGAACAATAACTTAATGAGCTAGGTCTATTATGCCCATTACAAAGATTTGAAAATGCTGCTTGTATGTAAGTTGACTAAATTGGCTACTAAACAGGGAGCTGAGATTTAAAGGTAGATCAAATCAATGACATAGAAGGCTATGTGATGCTAGCCAGTACACTTAAAATTACTAGAGCATGAATGTCTATGGTGTTTTGAGATATAGATTTGAAAATCAGTACCTAACTTAGGCCATTAGATGAAAAAAATCCAAACTGGGCCCTGTAGAATGTTTCCTGGTATCCTCTCTGCTCCTGTCATATGAAGAAAATCTTTCTTGGACAGTTAGTTATTGGCCATCTGTGAACCCTGTGAGTTCATGGGAAAGCCACTCCCTGTTGATCTGTCATGAAGGAATGGGTGAGTTCTTGTGAGCCTGGCATTGTATCTGCCAGTGAATTTATCTGCCTCCACTTGCACTTCTCCCACTTTTTTTTTTTTTTTTTGCCTTCCTAGATGACTAGATATTTATTCGTCAGCACAATAATACTTGCCATTTGATAGAATCTAGTGATAGGCCAGCTTATCAATTTATAGTGAAAAAATAGAACCTATGCAAACTACAAAACTTTTATCAGCTTGACCATCACATTGTGTCCCTGGAGACCTTGGAAGCTGGATTGCAATCAGGAAGTTGCATGAAGTACATGGCATCAGAACAAAGAGAGGTAGATAAATCACATTTTTAATAGTGTCAGGCTAAGACATCCTGTTTCATCTCATCTTCTCTGGAGAGGTGGGCCTGCCAGTAGGAGTGGAACACCCAAAGTTTGAAATACTTCAGACTCATTCCAAAGGATGCAACAGAATTTCAAGCAACTTTTAGATCAGCCTTGAGAAACAGAGACAAGGATGCAAAAATTTCTCTTTTTTCATCCTGCTTCTCTCCTCTTTCCTTCCTTCCTTCCTTCCTCATTCCCCTGTCTTTCTTCCCTTGCCTTCCCTTCCCTTCCCTCTTTCCTTCCTTTATTCCTTTTTCTGATTCCCTCTTTCTGTTATATCTTGTTACACTACATGGGCTGCAAATGTGGACTGAGAAATATCATTAATTTTACAAGTGAGATACTAACTTTCTAGAAATGTAGAATTAGAAAATGTGAGAGCTAAAAGGATAGATACAGACAATGAGATCGACAGAAATTGTATTTCACCCAAAGTTAATATATTTACTATTAGGAGGGACTAGAACTCAGGCTTCCTAAATCACCATTATTTAGCCTGAGGATGGCTACATTTTTATATTAAAATCAAATTATGTTTTCTTGTTGTATTAAAATCCTTCTCTACTTTCCTGAAAAATATTCAGAATATTTACATATCTAAATTTTTTAACTTGTAAATCTTTATAAGACTGTCACTAAGATGGGCCAAGTGAGATTTTAATTGTCTGTGTTTTTCAATGAAAATAATCCATTAGGTAAGTGACTTTAAAACTCTAGTTGCAAAATGATATTGTAAATTAATGATTTTTACCAATTCTCTTTGCTTATTTGTATGTCTGTCTTCTATCTCTTCCCACTGCCACCATATGTGTGTTTAATAATTAGAAAATAGTTACTTGGGTGACGATAAAAAAAAACTCTTTGGCCTGTAGCATCTTGAGTTTTCCTAGAAGAGGCTGTGTGGGATGGTAGAAAATTCTCTAGGCCTTGGAGCCAGATGGACTTGGGTTTGAACTGAAGCTCTGCCACTGAATAGTTTGTGGCCTTGGGCAACTTGAACCTCAATCTGTCATCTGAATGTGGCAGGATAATCTGTGAATATACTGATTTTTGTTTCTTTCTGCTGTTCTCCATCCCAAGAAGGTAAGTGGTTGCTTGTGCCTCAGGACATTAACCGCATATGCCATTAGTTGCAAGGCCCCAGTATGACAACCTCCCTTCAAAACTTCTGGAAAAGGATGAGAGCTATAACTTGGAGTTGCTGAGGCAAAGGGTGCCTACCCCAGAAAAGAGAATAGAGATTCATTCGTAGAAAGAGGGAAGATGATGATGTTTTTTAAGAAGAGGTGTAGGGCTAATTCATAGTTATCAGGAGGACTGACAGGAGCTATGGCCTAAGAAGTCCATGCTAGTCATAAAACAAATGGAGCCACCTGCCTGTGAATCGACCACATGGGCCTGAGCTGTGGGGCCTGGTGACCTAAAGGTTAGAAGCCCTCCCTTGCTTTCTAGGCCCCCCGTAAACTACCCTTGTTCTCATATGTTTTAGAATCCTCAAATTTGACTGATATTGACTCTAATCATGGTAGAGATCTGACCTCTGTCTCTACTTACAAGGATAAGATAATGAGCCATTTCTTACACCTGAGTGCTGTAGAGCAAATTCATCTCTGTTACCTAGTGTCTACCAAGCAGGGTGATTCTGAGAACTAAAGATAAATGTACATAGAGCACTTGGTACAGTGTCTGGCACGCAATAGGCATGATGGGAAATTGTGAATAATTTCATATTATGAATGATTTCATATTCAAATTATAAATAATTAAGGCATTTTGTTTCATCACCAAAATGATCTCCGAACCAAGACTGGTGGAGCTGGGTGTGCTTCTCTTTCCAAATGAAAGACAAAATAATTCATGACGTAGAGCCTAGAATGCTAGAACTGAAAGGGTTCTATATTAGAGTAGGCTAGGCCACAACAATAAACAGGCACAAAAACATGATGATTTAACACAGGAGACATTTATTTCATACTTACTTAAAATTCTAGGATAGTCTGTGGCAAGTGGTTGGGTTCTCTGTGCCACATGGTCTTTTTCTGGACCCAGGCTGACAGGTTCTCCCATCTCTGAGAGAAGGATCCCAAGGTAGCATGGGGGGCTGCCCAGCCCAGTCACCAGAAGGGGAAGAGAATGTGTAGGAGCACACATGGGAGATTTTATGGGCCCACCCCAGAGTGGCACAAATCCTTTGTTCACAGACCATTGGCCAGCACTCAATCACAAGGCCATGCCTACCTGCAAAAGAGACCAGGAGATTCAGTCTAGCAGTATGTCCAAGAAAAAGGAAAAAAAAAAAAAAAGATTTTAATGAACAGTTAGCAATCTCTGTAAAATTAGGCAATTCTGGTCCAATGCTTCACTTGATTGTGTGTGGCTCTGGAAGGTGGAGTGTTCTTTGCTATGGCTTTCAAGACTGGGTTTCCTCTTTCTACAGAAATGCCCAATCCAAAGTTCTCCTTATTTAGGACGTGGCACCCTTTTGACTAACTCTACATATCTTCCTGCACCAGGCATCTTCAAAATCCCATCAGATATATATCCCCTTTTGTTTTCCTGTAATGCATTTATAATTGCAAAATCTGCTGGACACAAGGAGTAAAATCTGATTGGAAGGAGCGTTTGCTTCTTTGAGCACCCTGAGTTTGCTGACAGCTATGAAATACATCCACTGTAACTCTCCTCTCACTGCTTGACCCCACCCATTCCCTGGCCTCCCCATTCCTCTAAGCAGCATCATGTGAAATCAAATGTTTCTTGCCCTCCTTTCTAAATTGCATGCAACCAGCTAGCAGGCAAATAAACAGTGAGGTAAGAGCCAAATTTACATAAGGAGCCTATTAATATACCATACAAATGAGGGGCCTGTGGAGAATGTTAATTCATTTCCTACACTGAATGGCCATGATCACTGTAAATTTTCACCA